AAGCAGTAGTAGGGGAAGTGATCCCTCTGACCCGACAATAACATTCAAATTTCTTCCACTTATAATCATATAAAGAGCGTGTAGACGTGCGATGAGCTGCAGTGATAGCTGAGGCCACTCTGTGAGAATAACCTTTGGCCATTAATGATTTCTGCAAATGTGCCATACGTGAAGATTAAACGTCTGTAGTGACTCATGATACATGCCCGAGTGCGGATGAACTAGTAGGTCGTCCCGCACAGGAAGAGGAATACTGCTTCCACTGACTAGACTTTTTAGTCCAATGAACCAGCTTTTTGCCGGCCAGGAGGGTGCTACCGAGTGGCAAACAGGTCGACACTTGGTCGAGAGAACGGGTAAATTATCGTCCGAAAAATCTTGGTCAGGAGTTGCCACTCTGAGGGCGACGGGCGACTGGAACGAGACAGAGCGTCGGCAATCACATTCTTTGTTCCGGGGATGTGCCTGGCTCTTGCTACGATGTTGAGAGAATCTATCAGGAGATAAAATCGAAACGTCTACTGTAGAAGTGCTACTGAACCCGTCGACCTTAGGTGATTTATGTACCACACTACTGTCGAGTTGTCGAACTGTATCAGCAGGTGAGACATCTTGAGTAGAGCCGCCCAGTGCTGAATTGCCAGTAATACTGCCTTGAACTCCAGAATGTTTATGTGGAGTGACTTTCTTATGTGACTGCCCTGCCACTTGATGCTGAAGGAAGTGGGCGCCCCAACCTTCGAGAGAAGCCTCCACAAACAACTGATGGGCACCAAAGAGACGCCGGCGCAAACATTCTGTACGTTGAGCCACCAACGCAGAATTGGACACAGTTCCCTGGGTAACCGAATCAACTCCTGAGGGGAACAAACAATATGGCTTGTTCTGTGTCAAAAACCGCTCCTATGAACTACAGTCTGCGAGTCGGTGTTAACTCAGACTTCTCTTATTTGAGGAGCCACCCTAACTGTTTAAGCAGCTTGATGGTGAACTCCCGATGAATTTGAGGAACGATTGGATCCAGTTGTGCCTGAATACAATCGTCTATATAGCTCTCGAAAGTCACTCCCCGAGAGTGAAGGAAACTGCTAAAGGGTTTGGTCACCCGAGTAAAAAGCCACGGGGACGTAGAGATTCCAAATGGAAGGACTTTCCATTGGAAGTGATGGCCCTCGAAGGTGAACCTCAGGTTCTTCCGATGATCTTGGTGAATCAGAATGTGAAGGTATGCATCTTGAAGATTGAGGGATATGATGAAATCCCCTTTCTTCAGAATTGAATGTAGAAGACTGACTGATACCATTCGAAAATGAGGTGGCGGTTGAGGGAAACGAGTGTTGAATGCCTTCATATTGAATATGAGACGCAGCTTGCTTGAGTATTTCTTTGGCACAAGAAAAACCGTGGAGTAAAACCGTGGAGTTATGCACACCGGATCGAGGCGTTCTACCGCATGTTTCTCCAGTAGAGTTGAGATTGTGGACAAAAGGACTGCAGCCTGATCCTGAGGATACGTTCGCTGCAAAGGTTGAATGGTGAGGGGTGGTTCCCTGACAACAGGCATTCGATAGCCATGAATGAGAGTCATTGTGACAAATGGATCCCCTAGAAACTCCCAGTTGGGAGCAAACAGACCTAACCTCTCGCCTACAGGGGAATCAAACACCGGAACCACCGGATCCGGCAGAACCAATCTGAGCTCTGATTTCCGCGAGTCACTGTTTGGAGTTTTTGACTTCCAGTTCCAGCGTCGGGTTTAAAGGGGCGACGTGATGCGGAACCACGAAAAGGCTTCCTGCCCCTGCCTCGTGCTTGAGAAGACGCCTTGTCTTTCAAACAGTCACGAAGGTCTGGATTGGAAGGGGTAAAGTGTGGGGTTCGACGGTGCCGCATAGAGTCTTGAATTTGAATTTTTTGCAACTCAAACAGATCTACAGATACTTGAAACTGATTAAGACGGTCTACTTTGGATGCGACTTCTGCAATAGACCCACTGAACACCGTATCCCCCGACTATGGTTGACGAAACAATTCAGCCTTGAATCTATCTTCCCATGAGGATAAATTCAAAGGGCCCGGACGACATATGGCAAGTAGATAGCCAAAGAAAGAGAAAGTTGCCCCAAGACCACCTGGAATTGATCTAATATCAGGGCCATACTTCCCCTTATGTATGCATCTTGGTCCGTATAGGCATGATTGACAGCCGCCGCCACAGCGTCAACAGCCGAAATGATACAACAAATGGAAGGGATAGAATGCCACATCGCAGCATCTAGATGAGCCAATTCCCTATCTTCCACAAAAAACGGAGAACTGGAACGCTTGCCACAGACCATGGAAATGTCATCGTCAACTAAAGGTGCCGCTGACCAAAGTTGAACACCATGAGTATGTGCCGTCGATGGTCGGAACCTTGGAGCTGACAAACCATCCTTCGTCCTCCTAAGCTTCTTGAAAGCCGCATCAAGAGAAGAAGGTAATTGTTGAATACATGGACGCAAAGGAAGTGTGATACTGGAAATATCTCTATTTGTCATGGCATAAGACGTGGCCAAATCATCTTGAGATTTACTAAGAGGTAGATGAAGTTTTTCAACTATCCAAGCTAGCACGTGAGCCGGTTCAACAACATCAAAACTGCCATCTGGAGTGGAGATGTCCGACTGCCCAGGTGAAGATAAAGGAGTCTGAGACCGAGTCAGATCCCTCGAATCCAAGGGACGATTATTGCTAGGTATGGCAGACGATTGTTGAACTTGAGAGGACGAATGACACTGATTCCAAGCCGATGTAACAGCACGAAGCATGGTGTCTAAATCCGGTGCAGGAGAGGAATCAAGCGCAGGATTCCAAGACTCAGTAATAACCTGTGACCGAGGCAAAGTAGAAGTGGCATGGCGTGAAGGTGAATGCCGATCCACTGAACCATAACTCTGCCTAGTAGGTGAAATCGCCCACACAGAACGATGTTGATGAAGGGAACTATCACGTAAAGACTGACCAGACAGGATATCCTTATTCACCTGAGGTGAATGAGACCGACTACGAGAATCACTCTGACGAAAAGACACCGTGTGGCTAGGTGAACCGGATCGAAATGGCGAACTACTTCGACTAGGTGAGACTGAACGACTATGTGAATCAAAATGCTGTGGTGAATTGATTCGACTATGAGATGGTGAGTCGAACCGAAACATATGTTGAGGTGAATTGAGTCGGGAATGTGAACCGGTTCGTCCTGGTGAATCCATTCGATTACGTGAATCAGTTCGGTCTGGTGAGCCAGCTCAGCTGAGTGAACTCGTTCGACCCTTGGCAATGCAACGGCTAGGTGAATGGTTCCGTTCTAGTGAACCAACACTGGCATTAGACCCAATTCTGATTGGTGAAATATGAATCGAGGTGGTGAATCGGTTCAGACTGGTACATTGGAAGGACGACGAGATCTCGAGTGTGAATGAGATCTAGAACGGCACTTCCCAGCAGTAGAAGAACGATTTCGAACCTCTGAACCAGATGGTGACTCAACTCGTGTGGGTGAATTGTTTTGGTGGGATGAAACCGTACGAATAGGAGAACGGTTCAGTTCAAACCGCGCCGATCAACGCTAAAATGATGAATGCTTGGATTTAGAAGTTTTCGAGGACTGTGAACGGTCCGATGAAACGGATCTACGAGATAAAGTAGATCGCAGGTCTTGTGTAGAGGAAATATCAGTCATTACCACCCTTGCATGCCCATGAGAACTTGAGCTAGGTGAGGGAAGAGTCCCAAAAAGCCTTCTAACATTCTCAGACAAATAGGAATCAGACGAAGCGTCCATAAAATCTTCGTCAGGAGAGACGGGTGATTTAGAACGGCGAGCAGTTAGGGAGGGGCGATCTAAACATTGTTTTTTGGAGATGGACCAGATCCCGCAGAAGCATTCCTGGCCCTATCTGCCAAACGTCTGGCACAAGCACGTTTGTAAGCTTTAAAATCCTCATTAGACAGTCCTGAACACTTAGGACAACGTTTGTCCCAATCACAACAACCCACACAATCACTAAAAAGCTGAAAAGACTTTATTACATTGAGAGCAAAACTTTCGTTTTCTGGCCTGAACAGGCTTATCCATGTTGAGCAATTCTCAGACGAAAACAATTTCACGTCCACTCTGTTGAGCGACAAGAAAGAGAATGGTAAGGTGATCACGTGGGTGAGGACTGCGCATGCCACATGCTGTCACAGACTAGTGAGCATGGCTAAGGCAGGAAGGCATGCACAGCACGGGGACAGGGACAAGGTAGGCCTGGAGCAAAGATTAATTCATTTCCACTCATGGTCGAATGAAGAGAGAGAGGTGTAAGTTGTGAGATAGGAAAAGTTTAAAAATCTGTTTTTTTAACATTGGAGCAAAGGACACAGATATTGTCATTCAGGCAGTTCCTGTTCTTTATGAATATCACTTATCATATTTTCTTTGAGGGTGCATCATGACAAATCTCATTTTATCTCTAACTTTTGCATCTCAAGATCAGATTGTTTGGATGAAGAGTTGTTCTGAAGTGACTTTGTTGAGCGATACTCAGCACCAAGAAATGACATTGTATAAATGATTACATAAGGTCCTGGGTTTCCCAACAAGTCTACATTTGAAACAGTGACAGGTACACTTTCCTTGTCTTGAAAACAGGTTCCTGATTTTTTAAAAAGATAGTAAATCTTGTTTGACACAACTATTTCATGTCACTCTTTCATGCCAAGAATTACCACAGAGTTTTTTTTGTGCTTAATACCACACTACTATATCAGAGCTCTACATTAGTTACCAATGAATATTAGAGTCTGAAGCAGACAGTCAAGAGATTAATATTCACAGCAATGATCTAGGCTATCAGGATCCAAAGACAGGCATTTGGACACAATTACTGACCACAAGATGTATAAAATACATAGTATACATTGCAAGGTTGCCTATTTTAACCTGGTGTCCCAACACTAGTAAGCATAAATACCTTAAATAAAGCCCCGGTCTCACAGTGCCACACAATGCCCTCAACTTGACCATCACCACTTTCTCTGAACCAGTGAGTGAGATTTTCAAGGGTCGGAGGTTGAGGACAGCTCAAGGTCATGCTTCCATGAACAACAAGAAAATGTAATGGCTTCTTCTTATTGCCAAGCTCTGAAAGAGATGACAATTTTAAAGGAATAAAATGACCAGCTATCCTCCCATATTAAACATTCAGGATAATACTAATATCTACATACACAGTATTTGAAATTAACCATTATTTGTGTGGTTTTACACAGATTTTAGCAATATTCCGCAATATCGCAGCAGGGGACACCAGAACTGAGCTTGAACCTGGCCTTTGGCTTGAAGAGCAAACACCCTTGGCTAACACACCACCCCTTGGCAGAGAACTATACATTATCCAATATAATGATACATTTATTTATCTTACGGGGCGGTGGGGTAGCCTAGTGGTTAAAGCGTTGGCTCGTCACCCAGAAGACCCGGGTTCGAATCCCCACATGGGTACATTGCGTAAAGCCCATTTCTGGTGTCCCCCGCCGTGATGTTGCTGGAATATTGCTAAAAGCGGCGTAAAACCAAAACTCAGTCAGTCAGTCAGTCAGTTATTTATCTTACTGTAAGGGTTTCCATTGACGTTTGTTCCGATGAGCTCCACAGTGCTCCCAAGCAGCTCTGTCAGAGGTACATTGTCAATACAGAGGCCCTCTGCTGTTTGTCTGAAAAAGATGAAATTCATCAGCAGAGTTTCAAGCAAAGCAGAAATGTACATCCAGTCTGCACAAGCCCCCAAAATGGATAGAGGAAAAATATATATTGCAACCCAAAAGACATGCAATTTTATTTATTGTACTAAATTCTTGACAAGAAATATAATGTACCTGTCAAAACCTAATTATTATACCTAAAAGTACAGTACACTGCAGTATTTCATTGTGTTACGAGACCAATATCCGAAAAGGAAATTAGTAGTTTTGGGTCCTCTAGACGCTTATTTGTGAAGGGGGAGGTAAAACCCAGGAGACAATCCTAGTGACTGATATCATGAGCATCAATTAACAGTACTGGGATACAACTGGGAAATGGATTCAACTAAGCCACTGCATGATTTCATTATGATGAATGAACCATGCTGTCTTGGTACAAAGAAGTTTATTTTCTCTCAAGAATGTAATTTTCTGATTAAAATTGATATTTTATACTTATCCTGACTCATGCTTATTGCTTGTCTTCTTCTTCTTGCGAACACAGTGGAACACTTGTATCTCCCAATTGAAGTTCCCTTCAATGTAAAATCACTAATTAGTACTCACCACGAGTTATCTGTCCCCTCAAAAGCTCGGGAACGAGGGCGCCACCTCCTGCCATGTGCCTCACTCTCTCCTTATATAGCGAGCCCAACACTTGAATTTTCAGGGAAATCCAAAGTGTTATGTGGGGAGGACGGGAGGGCTTACCTCATGAGTCAGGATAAGTATAAAATATCAATTTTAATCAGAAAATTACATATTTTTCCTTATCCTGACTCATGCTACTTGCTTGTAGAATCCGACGGAAACGGAGGTGGGAATACAGAATACTTTGGATTTTAGATAATTAGTGATTTCTGTAATGACTGTAATAACCCTTATGGGAACTTCATAAAGGCACTGAATTGATGAATTCCTGCTGCTAACTTATCAGCTGCCCTATATGGGTTATTACAATATAAATATTAAGAAAAAAGTATATACAACATGAATACTATGCTTAAGATTAATAGACTTAAGCTTGACAATATGATAGCATAAACTTCATAGAGTTTGTTAGCTAATATACTTTTATGATATATCCATAGTACTGAGCTTAAGATATGATTAAACTTAAGCTAAATATATAATAGCAAAAAACTCCATAGAGTTTGTTAGCTAATATACTGTTATGATATAACAACCATAGTACTGTGCTTAAGATAATAAATGAACTTAAGCAAAATATATATAGCATATAGCTATTTAGTACTGTTATAAGATAAGTAGTAAAATCTGTAAGATTGACTTATCTTCTCCGAGGAACTGTCAACTGTTGTGCGAGGACCATGGCACCGAAATGGTGAATACCTGAGACGTCCTCGGTGGTGATATCTCTCAGATAATGGTTGGCAAACACCATATCGGATCTCCAGAAACAACCCTCCATTATGGTATTCAAAGAGCAGTTGCCGTGAAGAGCAAGTGTCGATGCTAACGCTCTAATTTCATGAGGATTAGATGCTCTTGGAGGGTCGAGTCCTGCAGCCTTGTAGGCACGTAGTATGACAGTTCTGATCCAAATGGAGATGGTAGTATGTGAGACTTCAGTCTGCGTAGCTGTTGATAGAGGAATAAATAATCTCTTGAATTTTTGTCTCCTCTGTTTGGATCGTTGGAAATATATTTTCAGTGCTCTTACTGGGCATAGTGATAGATCCATCGTATCATGAGGTCCAAGTATAGATGAGAGAGCTGGGACGTGGAATAACCTGTCTGGTTGGCCTGGTAATTGGTTCTTGGCAACAAAATCCCAACGCAGTCCCATATGCACGATGTTATGAATATCATCAAGCGTGTTCTCTCGTAATCCAATGCGTGAATCTCTGACATCCTGGCAGCCGTAGCTAGAGATAACAGGAACAAGGTTTTCTGTGTCAGAAATTCGAACGATGTAGATTGTAACGGTTCATATGCCTCACTTGATCCCAAGCTGGAGCGTGAAATCTGCGTTTCTGATCCTCCAATCGGAATGCTCGTAGCAAGGCAAGTAACTCTGGGGTCTTGGTTAGCTTGACACCCGTTCTCATAGTTATGACAGAGCTTATTGCTGCAAGATAAGTGGATAAGGTTGAGCCTTTTAGATTTTTGGTCTGACGTAGATACTGTAAACGTATTATATTTCGCGCATGTTTTATTTTCGCGCAAAACATTTTAGCGCGAAAATTTATACACCGCGAATAAACCTGTCATTCATTCAGTCTAGCCACGCTCGCCCCTGAGTTGTTACCATAACACATCACGTTTGAAGACAGAAATCAACGGGAATCTTAAAATGACGACTGATCATACTTAACTGTCGCTGTAATGGATTTCCCAAAACATAATTAAATAATGAGCCAAATCCCATTGCCGAATTAGCGAAAACAGCAATGTGTGTTGCGGCCGCCATGGAAATTGGTCACATGACAGATGGTTTGATACAAAACAGATTACCATGAAACGACTCGGAAAGAAATAATACAGCAGTATTTTATATATTCAGTAAGATTTTATTCACCAGTACATCATGAAGCGAATAGTCACTAACACTCAATCATCTCATTCACAACAACCCGGCTTGTTTGAAATCACAAAGAGCTTCATATACAGTATAAGTTAATTCATCAAATCGTCAGAATTCGGAACATAAGACTGATGTGTTTTTCATCCCTTCCGGGATTAAACGGATTACTGTGTACTAGTATATCGCACAGATAGGGATTTCCTGTGAGTAAGCAATAAACGCCGCCTGACAGGTTAAGCAACTCTGTTTGTTTTCACTGCTATTAGTGGCGGCCAAAGAGACAGCTGGCAGTTCTGGCAATTACTGATTGCGCGAATAATTGACCGCGCGATGTAGTCTAAACTGTCAATTCCGCGAAAATTGCACCACGCGAAAATAAGTACGTTTACAGTAACATAAGTAGTCAGCCACTTGAGGATGAGTAGCATATCTAGCTGTAAATCCTTTCTTTGCAGCCTAATTGACAAAACTGTGCCATTTGTCCTCGTATAAGTTGCAAGTGGAGTTACTCAAGGCAAGTGTGACTGCTTTTGCCGCTCTGGCTGAATAACCTCTCTTATTTAGACACGCCTTGATACAGTCCATACGTGAAGTTGGAATGTTTCTGGCTTTCCGTGCGCTTGTTTGGTGTGCGGATGTATTAGCAGATTCGCGCACTTTGGAAGTTGTAGTATTGGTTGTCCGATTTCTTGAATAAGAGTTGGAAACCACGTTCTCGCTGGCCAGTAGGGCGTGACTAAAATCAGATGGAGGCTCTGAGTTTGTTTGATTTTGAGTAACACTTGTGGGATTAACGCTGGTGGCGGGAACGCGTACGCGTTGAGTCCTTCCCACGATATGCTTAGTGCGTCCGCTGCCCATGCTAGTGGGTCTGGAACTGGCGATATACGAAGTTGTCAGTTGATTGTTGAATCGAGTGGCAAATAGGTCTATTAGTGGAGTTCCTATTTCCTTGATAATTTGAGTGAATATCTCTGTATGGAGCATCCATTCCGTCGGTGATGGTTGGAGTGGTCGAGAGAGCGCCTGCTATTACATTCTTTGCTCCTGGAATGTGACATGCTCTGACATGTATGTTGAGATTGTCGATTAAATCGAACAATTGAAAACATAGAGTCAATAGGTTCGGGGACCTTGTTGAGCCTTGTTTGTTCACATAAAACGCCACTGTCGAATTGTCTGTGTGAATCATCAACTGAGCATTCTGTAGTAAGTTGCTCCAGTGACTTATGGCGTTTATCACTGCTTGCATCTCTAGCAGATTTATGTGTAATTTGCTCTCTTGATTGCTCCATTGGCCTGACGCTGTCCTGTTGGCGAGATGGGCTCCCCAACCTTGTAGTGACGCGTCTACGTAGAGATGTGTTTCCGATTCCGGCTCTATTAAGGAGACGCCTACGCAAACATTCGATCTCTTGGTCCACCATAGTAGGTGAGGTTTGACCTGATCCGGTAAACTGAACGGTAGAGAGTCGTCCAGATGCGAATTGATGAGGACTTGTAACGGGCGTAATTGTAGTCTGCCTCTGACTGTCATGTCTTGAGCTGATGTGAGTAATCCCAATAGGCTCTGCCACTGTCGTAGTGGTAGCGGAGAGAGTAAGGCTTGTGGGATTGACTGTTGGATCTTGATCCATCGGTCCTCCGGTACAACTATACGATTCTGGGCTGTTAGAAATCGTATACCTAGAAATTGCAGATCTTGCGTTGGCTCTAGGTCTGACTTGAGTAGATTTACTAACCATCCTAATTGAGTTAGTAACTTGATTATAAAGTTCAGCTGTAGTCTGAGACGCTGTGGATCTGGATCCACTTGTATCCCGTCGTCTAGGTAAAACGCTGCGAAGACCTTGACGATGTAGGTATGAGATGATAGGTTTCGTCACTCTTGTGAATAACCAGGGGGCCGATGAGATTCCAAAAGGGAGCACTTTCCATTGGTAATGTATTCCGTCTAGGATAAATCGGAGATATTTCCTTGAATCGGGATGAATCGAATGTGTAGATATCGCCTTGCAGATCTATGCTGGCCATGTAGTCTCTGGGACGAATTAAGTGCCATAGTTGCGGTAGGTGTATCATGCGAAACGCTGGCGGTTTGCTTAGATAGTCTCTGTTGAAGATGCTCATATTGTATATGAGACGAAGCTTTTCCTTGGAATTTTTCTTGGGCACTAGGAAAACTGGGGAGTAGAAACCTGGCACGATGTTTACTTGATCCAGAACTTCTAAGGCCTGCTTGTTTAAAAGTGTAGCTACTGCTTCTCTTAACATTGGTAGTTCTAATGGATGGAAGTCGAACCTTGGAGGGATGACTGTCAACGGAGGTTTGGCCTTGAGTTGTATTTGATATCCGTGCTGTAGGATGTTGGATACATAAAGATCTTGTAGGAATCCCCAGTTTTCCCAGTGCAGATGAAGGCGTCCACCCACTTGAGATGGTTGTACTGGAACGGATGGGGGTGGAAGACTCCAGTCGTTCCGAACCTGTACTTCATCGTTTATAAGTGCAGGAACCTCTGGATGACCTGCCTCTTGCTGATCCTCCTCTGAAATTGCTGTATGGGCGACGAAAAGACTCCTTATAACCTTTTGCTGCAGCCAATTGCTTGTCACGTGCTTTCTGTAGTCCAGAGAATTTCGACTAGCCAGAGTATCTCATAGATGTTTGCTTAATGACATTAGCTAACGTATCCATGGACTTAATCATAAGCACCTCTCTAGAGACCTTAGACACTTCTTTGGAGACCTTGTCTATGTTACCACCAAAGAGATATGGAGATGACCACGGGGCAGCGTAGAGGGATTCAGTAAATTGATTACCCCAATTACAGGAGGCTAGGAGACCCTGACGACGAGCCATAGTAGTAGCTGCCGAAAGCGCTGACAAATGATCTGTAAGGAACTGTTGGTCTCTTTTCTGGATGAGTAGAGCCGAGTAAATCATCCTATCTTCTTCATCTGTAGTCTTTGAACTTGGTGAGAAGAGTTTCATTGACAGTTCTAGATCTATTCAGTCCAAAAAACATTCTCCTAGAAATGGTATCCAACTGAGCTAGCTTGCGGTCGTCTATTCTGTAATTCCTGGACTTGGTCTCATTGATTAACTTAAAGTTCTCATCAAAATCTTGAGCCTTGAAAAAGGAGTCCATATTGTGGCCTGCAAACTTCTTAGCGTTGAAAACAGGGAAATGTGCAGTCTGAGACTTTGTAGATTTGGTAAAAGCTGCATCCAGATTAGCTGGAACCGCTGCTATCGGGTCAATAGGAGGTAAGGAGATAGTGTCAGCATCATCTTCCTTCATCAAATAAGTATGGGCTGAGTTCTCGTTCTTAGACGGGGAGGAAAGTTCCAAACTATTCACCATCCAGTATCTAATTTCTGCATCTGAGAATACGATACCCTCTTCCTCTTCTGACGTCGGATCACCGATAATAGAGTGAGGTGGAGTCCTAGATCTATATGAGGATCGACGAGAAGAATGTGGTGAACAGACTGACGAGTGGCTTGTATAGGGAGACCTTTGTGGAGACTTCCTTGGCGACCGCTGGTGGCTTCGTGAAGCTCTCTGTGAATCCCTTATAGATCTTCTAGCTGAAGATGACTTGGAGCCACTTAACCTTCGTGAAGGCCTTCGTGAAGGTATCGAGTCAGAGTCCGAATCATTAGATAGGAGCTTGCTTCGCGAACGACCTCTGTGTTCTTCAGGGTCTGAGCTCGGTGAAGCACTCCTCCTCCGTGAAGCCTTTCGCGAATGGTGAGGATCTGGGTCCTTCGTGGAGGCAGACTGGGACGTCCTTCGCTAAGGCTTCGATACGGGCTGGGTTGCCCTTCATGGAGGCGCGTCTGTGGGCTCTGGGGCCATACGCGAAGTCAAGCAAACGGGCTCTGGGGCCCTACAAGACTGTAAGTGGGTTGGGCTCTGGGGCCAGCGGCTCTGAGGCCTCTGTAAACCGTATCGATCTTCCATCAACATCATAATCTGTCTGACCAGGTCGTCTGGGACGGTCTGCGCTGATGTAGACGCTGCCCTCTGTATGGTAGCCACACCCTCAGGTAGATTCTCTGCCGTCAGTGTAGGCATCTCTAGCTGCGTGTTCATCTGCGCTGAGGTGACGGTAGCCGATACTGGTTGCTTCTTATGCCGTATATCTGGAATGATGATCGGTAGATCGTCATCATATAAGCCCAATTCTGAAACAGGAAGAATGTCAGATGAAAAATTGTTAGTAGTCTTCGTAGGTTTCACTTTCGACGAAGATGTAGCCCTGGGGGTGCGGAGCGTACGTTGTGACAACGTAGAAGCTCTCCTGGTCTTAGACTGGGACGACGGGATGTCCTGGGATGCAGGTCGTCCCACGCTTCTCCCCCGAGGGCAACTCAAGCGGAACACCAGACGGTAGGGGGTCATCCGCCAACAGTTGACATGGTATATCAGACTCTGATCTATTAGCCATGACTGAAGACTGTTTCAGTAATCTATCTGCTGCGCGTCTCAAGATGCAAAATAAATATTTATCAAAGGCAGAATTAGATAATTTAATACAATGATTGCAACGTGAAGCAGTAGAGCATGGCGTAATACAACTAGGGCATATTAAATGCGGATCAGCAGCAGAGAAACGTAATTTACAAACAGTGCAGATCTTCATTAACGCAATCTGAGCAAACACGGCGAACCGTGAATAAAACAGTAGAAACACGAATAAATATCAATGCATCATGTATAAGGATACTAGTTACACCTCTGTAGATGATTATAAGAGGTAAACAACTAAATATAAATAAAGGATATAATGTGTAGGGAGACACAGGCGCTCTCACGTCCTGCTCACTGGGCGAAGAAGGAGAGAGTGAGGCACATGGCAGGAGGTGGCGCCCTCATTCCCACGCTTTTGAGGGGACAGATAACTCATGGTGAGTACTAATTAGTGATTTTACATTGAAGGGAACTTCAATTGGGAGATACAAGTGTTCCACTGTGTTCGCAAGAAGAAGAAGACAAGCAAGTAGCATGAGTCAGGATAAGGAAAAATATACAACATTAAAAGATTTACACCAAAACCTAATAGTGATCATCCTTATTCTTTTCAGACATATGTGACATTATAAAAATGGCTTCATTGATATGCTGGGGTTCAAACATATTCACCTCTGTCTAATGTTTGCTAATTTCCAAACAGAGATTGATCTCACCTCAGTACAAGCCCCAGACCATTGGTCAAGTCTACAGACGACAGGTGCCACAGGTGTTCTCTGCCCTTAGGGTCCACCGGCACCCAGCCTGAGAGACAAAACATTTTATTACCATCATATAACGTCACATACAAGTAAGTCTAATATTGATGGTTGGTTGTGTGAGTGAGTGAGTTTAGTTTTTGACGCTTTTAGCAATATTCTAGCAATATTACAGTGGGGGACACCAGAAATGGGCTTCACACATTGTACCCATGTGGGGAAGCAAACCCAGGTATTCGTCATGATAAGAAAATGCTTTAACCACTAGGTTACCCCACCGTCCATTGTTTCTGAGAGACTGTGTGGAGGAGGGACATTATTTTGAAAACATAATCTCTTCCTGCACACATTTCATCATCGGGTTTTACCCCCAAAACAAATACTTCCCCTTTATCGGAAATGCTTTTTCATTTCTTCCAGGATGTCTGTTAGATGATTTAAGTCTGTGTCACTAAAGTGGTTTATTGTTTGTGTGCATTAGACAAACATGTATAAAATATATTGATTTTCTAATTCCTGAATTTGCCCCTTAAACCTTCAGAAAATACTAGGTTCAACCCAAGCCACATGACTAAAACTTAATGCTATAACATACTGCATGGCCAAAGTCAGGTATCTAATTACCGGTACATTCAAAACTTCAAAAATTGTTTATGCATTTTCTTCCCACAGAAGTTACTTATCATATCTTCCCATGAACCTCTGTTCTAATGCGGCCCTTTCATGGTGCAAGTGTTCAGGATTCAGGATTGGTTGCAATCAGATTAAGTTGGGCAATCAGCGATATTGTTTCAAAATTGATCATTCACAAGGCCTCGATGATTTCCGTATGTTTCGGTAAAACTAGAACCTCTTCCCCTATGCAATGTGCAAACGTTTCTTCTAGACAAAACTCAGTCATGTAATGGTAGATCAACGGCATCTCCATCGCCCTCGTTGACAACGGACAAGTTAGCCATTAATTGTCTTGTGTGTCACATCAACACAAGTCCCCGGCAGAGGAGGCATATTTGTGGCCCCACATTTGGTTGTATTAGTCAAGTTGGATCTAAGTCGATGTAACACGTGTTCTGATCGGATACAAAGAAGGGAGATAATTTGTGTTGCCGCTAGGGGATTTTACAAGAACCAGGAAATACAGCCGTATTAGAACAGAGGTTCGTAAGATATGACAAGTAACCTCTGTCGGAAGAGAATGAAGTTTAAGCATCAATGCTTGTAACAATGACTGCCAATACAACTTGACAATTCTTGACACTTTTGTTTGTCATTGCCTAGGAAACCTTTTCTGAGAGTGTCTGAACTGGGTTTAACACTGCCTTGAACATATTGAAGAGTATCCCAGTTACCTGTATCACTTTGGAGAATCCCAGAGAAGTGATATGGTGCTACAAATACAATCTCCACAAACTGGGATTCAAACCCAGGATTCATAGGCTTCTGGCATGCCCAAGGGACACAACTCTGCACAGTGGACTTAGTACATTAATGACTGCCAAACAGTGCCCCACATTTCGAGAACAACCACCCTGTTTGCCCATTTGCAAGTTCCAAGAGAGCACTGTTTTCAAATCTTTGATCATTGTAAACTGGAGATAAATCAAACCTCTCAAACCTTTTTTATAAATAGATTATGTTTATCTCTGACATTTATCTCCAAACCTCTTCATTTAAACCCCACATGGTCTATCTCCCAATCGTTCACATGTTTCACCAAGGTCTATTTTCTAATCTGATAATAACTCAGACTAGAGTTGATCATTTTCTTGTTATAAACAAGACAACTGTACAAATCTGTGCCAAACAAACTGATGGACACAAATGAAACACCATGGGTATCATGTGACAGGTATTTACCAGACGTGAAATCCTGCTCCCAACACTCCAAGACATTGAAAGAGTACTCACCAAAAGTACACAACACATCTGATTGGAAGCAGAAAATTGAGAGTGAATGCTGCTATATCATAATGTGGAAGTACTTTAAATTAATTTCCATATGTTATCATTTCCAAAAGTTTGATGCAGCTGAATGTTTCATAATCTTTTAGCTATACAGTAGAGCTGTTACGATGCATCGAACTATCAATGGATTGCAATTGTTGAGTCTCCGATAGCAATTAATCGATAGTAGAAACAAAAAACTATCATGCATTGATAGTATGTGTGACTATCGAAAGTTTAGTTATTGACTTCCGTTGATAAATGTGCAGCGCAAAATACAGGATGTTTGGGTGCAGACTTGCAGCTTCATTGAGTTTATGTTTAAAACGTCTACTTGATCTGGGTTTCAAGATTCTTGTCAGTTATTAAAAGAGACTGTTTTTATTTCATATAAAGTATACATTCATCTGGGAAATGACTTCAAATGAGACAATTCAAGGAGAAAAAATTTATTGCAAATAGTATTGCAATAGTTGGTTGCAATAGACTATCACTATTGCAATAGTTGTTTCACCCTTAACAGTCATCCGACTGTATAGTAGGTCGGTTTGGGTTGTTTACTCCTCAAGGAGCTGAGAATGAAAACTGAACACACACTATTGACTGAAGTAATGTACAGCTTTGAGCTTGCTTTTGGATGCTGGTTTGGCACATCATTAAATGCATATTAATTCTGCAATAATTACCTGGGATGTGACCATGTTCATCTGGTTGAGGGACGCCATATTCAACTGACACTTCAAGGGCTGGAATCCACTGATTGGGGACTTCCTGTAAAGAAAACCAAAATATTGTTCACAGCTGTTTAACCAATGAAATGTACAATTCATCTGCGTGAGTTAATTTCAAAGCCAGATACACCCTCTTGAAAATCATCATCAATATTTCAATTGTTTTAACCAGTGAGTAGAGTGAGTGAGTGAGTAGAGTGAGTAGAGTGAGTGAGTGAGTGAGTGAGTGAGTGAGTGAGTGAGTGAGTGAGTGAGTGAGTGAGTGAGTGAGTGAGTGAGTGAGTGAGTGAGTGAGTGAGTGAGTGAGTGAGTGAGGTACTAATCTACTTTGAACAGTATTCCAGTAATATCACTGCCCGAAGTGATGCACTTGGACATTTACCCCTTTAGTCAAACCCATGAACATGGGTAGGGTGCTGACATACCTAGAAACATAACTGTGGTGAACCATTAACTTTCAAAGCAGCACTCTAGTTTCATGGACCTGTTAATGATCATTATATTAGTCTCGCCAGAATTGTGTAGTGAAAACCAATACCTTGAAGTCTATCGGGATATCCCAGCTAATTGTTGGCTTGTCTCCAATCTCCCCATCTTCACTCCAGGCCTTCTTTTCCGATACATACTTCTTCAGCTTTTTGTCCCCTGATTTATTCGGCTTTCGGTCATATCGGGCCCACAACCAGGGTTTACCTTAAACCATATCAGTATATATACATTCATATGATCCCATGCAATTCTTTCACTCCACAACCAATAAACCTGTGAACAGATTTTCAGTGATCTGGGTGATACCATTTGTGCTGCATTCTTCAGGTATAAAATTAAATTGATTCAAATAGGTTCAAAATTTGATTTTAAACTATCTAGATTCTCAAAATTTAAACCATTGTATCTTCTTCTTTCAGTTATAGTGAATTATTACTCGCCCATGGAAGATACTGAAGTGTGACGTATGAAGGCATAATGGTTTACAGTTATGATGTCACAATGACAATACCTCTGTCGCAATGGTATTAGGCCTTGCTTGACTCACGGATAGCTGAGAGTCATCACACTGTTGTAGTTTCTATCAATTTATGTTGGATGATACTAAACTCGCTTCCGTGAAATACCATCATTATCAAACTTGTGAAAGATTCATAGTCTCAAACTCGCTTTCGCTTGTTTAATACCAAAAATTAACTCGTTTAATAAAAATGGTATTGTACAGAAGGTCGTTTAGTACCCTCTATTTAACAGAATGTTGAATATTGATATATGATTGGTTTACATAAGCTTGATGAAATACAACGTATCCCACCCAGGAGATAAATATGTTTATCAGTGGAACAATAAATCATTTATACCTTGCAACAACAAAAAACAAACAGACTGCACTACGATTTCTTATCAGGATAATAAATCTCTTGCACCCTGATACAAGACAAGAAGTTGCAATGAGTCAACCTGTGAAGATCCGAGTTAGAATTGGTCTTCAGTAACCAGGGCTCGATTTAAGAGATGTTAACCCACTTGCACTAGGTGCAACCTAAGATAAAAACCTAGTTGCACCAGTAAAATTCCAGTTGCACTGTATTTATTGCAATATGTAATATCAGAAATATGCTATTGAATTATTTCGATGTTTTATTCAGAAGTTTACCCACTCAAAAATTGACTTGCACCTGGTGTTAGTTAGATTAATTACTAGGTTGCACTTCGTAATATTGGGTTGCACCAGTGCAAGTAACAAAGCTTGTTGTAAGAGGCACCTAATGGGATTGGGTGGTCAGACTTGTTGACTTGGTTGACACATCATGTGACATGTCATCGTATCCCAATTGTGTAGATCGATGCTCATGCTGTTGATCACTGGATTGTCTGGTCCAGGCTCAATTATTTACAGGACCGCCACCATATAGCTGGAATATTGCTGAGTGTGGCGTAAAACTAAACTCACTCACTCACTCAATGAGTCAATGCACAGCATAAGTTACCATCAGCTCAACCCAACGGCTCTGTCAATGTCAATAAATGAATATGTATTTCAATTAGTTTTCAAAGGCAGATTGAAACATGTCATCAAGATAAATGTGTTGCAGCATGGGCATGCATGGTGATCATGGTGAGGTTTTAAACCACTCAATTGAGCATGTCCATACATATCCTGTTCATACAACAGCATTTGTTGATCACAGACAGGAATTTTGCATATGCAAACAGAGTGGCTGATAGATTGGTCTCTGGAACTGTTACAGCACAAACAAACAGACTCTATTTCAATGCTGTTTGTTTATTTATTTGTTTAACGCTGCACGCATCAATATTCCAGCTTAATGATGACAGTACATCAGTATTTGAGTCTGGGACACATAATCAGTGATTGAGATCACGAGCATCAATTTATGCAATTGGGACATGATGGGATGTATCAACCACCCACCCAACACAGTAGCCTTTACGACAAGCAGGGGTCGCTGAGGAACAATTTTAACCCAGATCTTCACCGATGACTTTCATCCTTACCTTCATACTCGGCAATATAGCAGCAGGTGCCATCAATCTTCTCCGATACAACGGCAGTGTCGAGGTTGTGCTGCTCCACTTCATCACAAAGATTGTCTGTGGCTACAACAAGAAACTGCTGGTTCTGACGCTTCTGAGAGGCCTTATTTTCCACCCTGATCTTGAAAAGGCACTTCACCTTCTGCTGCACAGGATTTGTTCTCTGTTCACTCATCTTCACAGGTAGAACAATCCTTAAAAGAAAAGGCCTGAATTTTATCCATTTGAAAAATAATTAACAATGATTTTGTCATTTCTTTTTGTTTACAATTTCTTTTTTAACAGACATCCTTGTGCAGTGAGTGAGTGAGAGTTGGGTTTTACGCCGCTTTTAGCAACATTCCAGCAATATCACAGCGGGGGACACCAGAAATGGGCTTCACACTTTGTACTCATGTGGGGAATCGAACCCGGGTTTTCGGCGTGACGAGCCAAGGCTTTAACCACTAGGCTACCCCACCGCCCCCTCAAACTCTAGAAGTGTAGCAATACTATTTAACAATGATGTAGAAATAGACATACACAAATAAAAGAAAGATGCTAGTGGTAATTATATAATTGTTTATACTAGTGTTGATGGTACAAGACTGACTTTAATGAACGTATATGGGCCAAACAAAGATGACCCTGCTTTCTATAACACCCTATTTGGTGCAATTGACAAATTTGATAATGAATCGATGGTACTTTGTGGAGACTGGAACCTAGTAATAGATCCTTCAATAGATCTAGAAAACTATAAGCATGTAAATAACCCTAATGCTAGAAATATAATTATGGAGAAAATTGATGAATTTAATCTTGTTGACATTTGGCGTGACCTTAATATTGATGCAAGGAAGTATACATGGTGGAAAAAGAATCCAAAGCAGCAAGCTAGACTGGACTTCTTTCTGGTCTCACAAGATATATCAAATGTAACTGTTGATACTGCAATTTTACCAGGATATAAATTGAACCACTCAGCCATTACTTTAACTTTTTCCTCTGAAAATAAGTCAAGACTGGAAATTTAACACATCTCTTCTACGAGATCATGAATACGTCAAAATAGTCAAAACTCATTAAGAAGGAACAGAACAGAACAGAACAGAATTGTTTATTCTCGAAAATCATACAGAATGATATAGAGAACATACAGTCGTATGGATAGGTATTTTGATTTAGAAGTGGCTAAGCACAGTTTTAGCAAAAAGTGAAAGTTTGTGGTGTGAACGTGGTGGCCAGTGTGGGACAACTTATTGGTTGTCAAAACAAAGAGCTAATCTGCTACTGTGAGTAGAAGGTGACTGCTGTTAGCAAAGTGATAACTTCAGAGTACAAAGTGAGAGTCTGGTTACCATAAATGGTTTGTGTAATAATTTATCTTTGATTCTAATGTTGTTAACTGCTGGTCTGATTTCTCAGTTTGTTGAGGAGGAGGTTTGTGTAATAATCTAAACGGATCTGCATATCTTCTCCAACTTGAAGGGGGACATCAACCAGCTAAACGTCGACATGTTATAGGAGTGAACAATCAGATTTACCAGCTTGGATTTGAATACATGATGTGCGAGAGGAACATGGCTTCCTATTTGGTAGCTTGTGGATCATTGCTCAACTGAAAATGTGTATTGACGTGTGATATGTGACTTGTGACATGACTTGATGTGTATATGTAAAGCCACGGACATGAATAATGTAAATGTATCGTAAAACACTCTTTGCTTTGTTGTGTTTCTTCTTCATCATGGTATTCAAAGCTATTTCAAAGCATCATGCCTCCGTAATTAGTCCAACACTGTTGGTAATTAAGCTGATTGGATTAAGAGAGGCCAGAGCGTGAACACTTAAAGAACCACTAAACTTTGTTTTTTGTTACTCTTTTAACCATTACATATGAAAGATTTGTGGTTAGTCTTATGTGGAACACCAAATTTATTCTTTAAAAACTTGTGGTTAATTAAATTAGCGATTAAAAGTGGCCAAAAAGTCGCCTGCTTCCCTCTCGCCTGCCAACGAAACCACAGACAGGTTACGTAACTCTGTCGCCAGAGCACTGCAGTGACGTCATATGAGGAACGATTTTCAGTTAGTTGTATAGAAAGTGTGTAGCACGCTCATCATTTTGATGATTTCTCGACATGAACAACGACATGCCGAATCGTTGCTTTGTCGTCAATTGCTCCTAAGGGTCGGGTGATGGTGTCCCCATGCACAGATTTCCACAGGACCCCGCGGCAGTTCGTAAGCTAAATGGGTTATGTTTGTGAGTGCGGTTTAGCCGTTGTGGAAGCCTGAAACGATATCTTACTTGTGTTCAGATCGCCTCACGGAAGTTAAAGAATCAAAACTACTTACTAGTTATAGTAAAATATGTATATGATTGATGACTATAAAGATTTTCCATAACACAACTTGTAACATAACGATTTCTTCCTCGGAAGTGAGGTTGTGGTCGGCAACAATAATATTGTAAGTAGTATTATATTGACACCACCTCGCTGCCAGGAGAGAAATTGTTATGTTATACGCTATGTCATGCAAAATCCTATTGGCCATCAATAAAATACATATTTTACTACCAGTAGAAAGTAGTTTTGATTTTGTAACTCGGTGAAAACAAACCTAAATAGCAGTTATCAACAGACTGGCGGATGTTCCCGACAGGGCGCCACCATTTTTGAAAATTGTAAAGTCTGTTAGAATTAATGAGATTATAGTTTGTTTTCATCAAGTTAGAAAATCAAAACTACTTTCTACTCGTAACTAAATATGTATTGGAATCATAACCAAAAGGATTTTGCATGACACAACTTATAACATAACGATTTCTTCCACGGAAGCGAGGTGGGGGTCGAAGTCACAATAATGCGCGATACATTTCTGGCTACATTCACATGGTTAATGTCCACTCACCAGTATGTAGATACTAGTCAATGTGCGTGTTTATATTTGGTCTTATAATCCTAATTAGTTTATTATCATACTTTTATGCATTTTGAAACTAAATAAAAAGCTGACGATCTGCTGATACTTATAGTGAATTTATAACAGAACTGTAATATCTAGACATTTTATAGTTTGCCAATGTGAATCATAATTCGCACACACACACCCTAGTGTATGTTGTCTGTCTCATTACACTTCACGGCGAAAACAATGATTCTGTTGAATGCTACGACAAATGAATAAAAAACAAAATGCAAATATTAAAATTAAAACAGATTAAAGTTATAGGAACAATATCAGGCCATTACCTTGTTTGAGGAATGTATCCATCAATATCCACAAAACTGTTCCAAATGATGTGTCTTTTAACAGTTTAATATACGAAAAAGTGATAAATCTTTTCAGGTATTGGTGTATAGTCTCATTGGTCACCCAAGATAGCACACCTGGCAACTAATTGCATAATGTCCGCCTTTCTTTAAAAACAGTAATTTAGTTAGCCAATAATGGGCAATCAATGAATGTATTGCCGGTTAATCCTTTTAAAGAAGGATGTTGTTTTTACGCAGACACCGACACGGCAGAGTGTATTCAGTATAGATTAGTAAATCTACATACATAAACACTACCTTTTGACAAATCCGCTATGTAAGATAAAAGTAATTAATCAATCAGCGTGTTATCGGATAATCCTTTGATCGATGTTTATAATGTTGAATATTTACTCCAGACACAAAAAAAAAAAGCCAAATGGGAACCTTTGTCGGGTAATCTAAGTGTGTTACCACTAATTATACCTGTTATAAGTTCATTAACTGACCATTAAGTGAATGATGACAAATAACATGTGTAGGTTTATACCACCTAACACGGGTTACAACAAGGGAGTATTAATTGCATTTGAAAACTTATGGGCCGACACTGTTTTGAGAATACAAACAGATTTTTGCATGACATGATTAAATATCGAGGTAAAAAAACACAGAAATGGGATCAATTTGGATCAGTCATTATACAAATAGGGCCTAACGACACCAATCAATTGTATTCATTTAGAGGAACATTTCTAGACTACAATAAACTTTTGAAAAATATCCCTGTCTCAAGGAGACATACAGTCAATAATTCTCTTAATGAGAATCAACATCTGGGTATTAATGACACAGTGTATGAACTTATTATACCTTCAAAAGGTTGTAGAAGGTTCTATGACAAATTGATTAAAACATGTCAGCTACCTGATGTGTGTAACAAGTGGGAAAGTATGACTCTGATTACATTGCCTTGGAGTATTGTTTTTACAAACTATAGAAAGTGTACTCGGGATGTTAAGTTATTGGATTTCCAATTTAGATTCATCCACAAGATTATATATACTAAAAAAGAATTGTTGAAAATGAAATTGATTGACAAAAATATTTGTACATTTTGCAAATCAGAACCAGAAGATATTATCCATGGTTTTGTCTCGTGTGAACATGTACAGATGTTCTGGAGCGAACTAAGGAGTTTTATCAAAAACACTTTTAGCATTGACATTGTACTATCAGATTTCACAATCCTGTTGGGACTTAACACTGGCTATGATTTTATTAACAACATTATTCTCGCTGGGAATCGATTCATATATGTCTCAAGTATAAACAAGAGATGGCTGCAAATGTCAGGATTTCTGAAAATAATACAGAATATTGTATTTGTCGAAAAATACATAGCTAAGAAAAACAATAGGATTGACAAATTTCACAATAAATGGCCAAATAGCTTTATTTCGAACTTTGAAAATCTGCAAGTCTCTGTGCCAATAAATAATCAGCTCCAACATGCCTATGACCCATGAGTTTGCTGCTGGAGGTTTGCATGCTGTCTTTATATACCCATCCTTTCACACTTTGAAATTAGCAACTCTTTGTTGTCAATGATAACCAGGTTTAACATCATATAAATATCCTATAATAATAATAATGGACAAAACAAGACATTCAGAGTCTTGACCGCCTGACCAGAAGGATCATGTCTGATAACAGAGCCCACCACCCTCATTCCTCTCTTAACCGTTTATATATGCCAATCAATTCTGGAGGTCGGGGTTTGATTAATGTGGCGGCTCTTCATGATAGAATTTTATTGTGTACTTTTGCACATATTTATTTATCAGATGATCCTCTGGTGATGCATGTGAAGACTCATGATGAAAGGAAGGAATTTCACAGCTATTTTAAGCGTGCCAAGGTTGTTGGACAGAATCTGAAATTTGAGGTTGATTTTGTTGATGACGATGTACTGCTTGACGGTACAGCGATGGGAGTAAACCAGGTGAAGTCCTTTACAAAGTCTGCCCAGAGTCGGTCATTTGTGGAGAAGCTTTCTGAGAAACCATTGCATTGTGTGTACATGCAGTGTGTGGAACAGAATAGCAATCCAACCGACTCCTTCGCCTGGATGAAGTCGGCTGGTCTCAAACGTGAAACTGAGGGCTTCATTTTTGCTGCTCAGGACCAGTCACTTCCCACTCGTAATCGCCTAAATGTGATTCTTAAAGAGAATATTAACATGAAATGTCGACTTTGCAATGAATTCACAGAGACTGTCCAACACCTTGTCAGTGGATGCCCTTCTTTGGCACAAACAGCATATCTTAAACGACATGATGGCATGGCTCGTTGCTTTTACTACCGTCTCCGCTATGTCTGTGGCTTTGACTCTGAGGTCCATCCATGGTACGACCCTGAACATGTCCAGGGCGTCATGGAAAATGATGCTTTCAAACTTCTGTGGAATAGGCCCATATACAGCCTCAGAAGAATTCCTGCCAACAAACCTGATCTTGTCCTTTTTGATAAAGCCAATGAATTTATTTATGTCATTGAATTTTCTGTCCCTTTTGTGATTGGCAAGATTCAGGAAAAGCATGATAAATATGCGGATCTCGCCTTTGGAATGTCTTGCTTGCATCCCAAGTACACTGTCGTCAGGCTCCCCATTGTTCTCGGTGCCCTTGGTTTGGTACCTCCTGATCTCTTGGCGCAGATCAGGAGAGTGCCCGGGTTCTCCACCGGGAGCACAGCCCTTCTGACACTCTGGGTAATGCAGAAGGCTGCAGTGTTGGGGAGCCCCATATTCACCGGAAAATTCTTGGTGGGTTCGACTAGGCAGTGTTTCCTGGGAGAAGTCCCATTCGCTGTCTGGACTGCGTGTAGAGGGGGCGAGGGCCCTGAGCTGATGATGAGCCTTACCAGCCTGACTGTGCCAGGATCACCCGAACCCTCTCTGCTGCATTTTCATCTTTAATCTGTAAAACATAATAATAATAATCTAATTGACTAATTAATTGACTGATGTTTACAGGAAACTGTAATTCCACATATGTGTGTGTTTCTTTAGACAAATGTGGCTGGAAATTAGGGATGCCTCGATACATCAATATGTTTCTAAGACGATACACTTATCAAAACATTCAAAACTGTATCCATATTTAGGGCTCCTTACCTCTAGGCAGGAGACCTATTGTAATCGTTCAGATTATTATTATTATTATTATTTATTATTCCGCCGATTTTTGTACCAAACATAACTCCTAAACCAATGCTCCGAATCACTTACAAAACATCACAGATGCGCACCGAGGTGTAGATATTCCCCTTAAAAATCTCTAGGCTCTTGGCCCAATAGCAAAGGGGCGATAATTCAAAATTAATTCCAAAATTTCAACGTTTGACAGCAAATATCTCAAGAACTAATTGTTCCGACACTTCCAAATATCTTGTACAGATGCACAATCGAATACCCAACAATTTTGCCTGGACGGGTCAAGTCGCTAAAACGTACCGTTTGGCAGTTATTTTTGTTTTCAGCTTTTCTGAGTAGTTTGCTCCCAAAATGTGCAAATTCTGCACACAAAAGTGCCAGTATGGTCGATGATGTCCTGGCGATTCCAGAACACTAATTGTTTTGAACGTAGACCCAATAACAACTGAGATACAGCCTTTTAAAGAGGGAACTATTTCTTCTCCGGAACTACCTAAAAGGTACATGACCCACATGACCCCCATGACCAGGGCTGTATTTGGAAGATCCGCTCGCCTGTCAAAACATGTGTTCTGGCTCCGTTTTGGACGATGATATCTAGTCCTCAGATACAATAGATAGAAAGTAAAGCCAAGGAGACCTCATTGTTGCCCGCAACTATATTTAGTTTTGAAAGTATCAGTTTAAATATGTTTATGTATCATTTACATTTTGCGATTGTATCATGTTTTTTTATGTTACGAGAGTTATAAATGGTTGTTTTTCATGCACAAAGATGGGAAAATAGAACATTTTAATCTCTGAGAATAAAATTTTTTGATCTTTTCATGGACAATTATAAAATATGATATGTTAATGGTAATAATGCCACGATTTCAATAGGTATCATGATACGTATCGAATTGTGACATGGGTATCGTGATACGTATCAATTCATGAAACCTATGTATCGTGACATCCCTACTGGAAATCCTTTGGCACAATACGATAAACTGGACAATTCAACAATCCATGAAAATGGGTATGTTGACATGTCATCAACCAAATAACTTAACCTGACCACCAGATACAGTTAGTCACCTCTTACAATAAACACAGATAGTTGGAGAGACATATTCTTACCCGGAATCATCATGAGTTTTCCCCTGTAGGCTATGAGTATCTATAAAATGTACCTTCCACAATATCTCTTGACTACATGCATGGTATAACAAAGGCGAGATCGACATGATGCAAGATGTAGCAATACTCAACAAATACATTACAGTTCAATCAATTGCTGGTCATTATTTTAGATCTAGTCCGTCATCACTGTTCCTCCATATTCTGTAAGAAGGACAGCTGGGTAGACTGGTGGTTAAAGCGTTCTCTCGTCATGCCGAAGACCCGAGTTCAATTCCCAACATGAAAGGGGTACATTTCTGGTGTTCCCTGCCGTGATATTGCTGGAATATTGCTAAAAGCGGCGTAAAACCAAACACAATCAGTCTGTACGTATTCCGTAAGAAAGATATTGGGATATTTTTGGCTGAATTCATAAGGAAAAACGTTGATGGACGTTGATAAATGATCGATATAGCAAATCTACCGGTAGCACTCGCCACCCCTACACTCTCCATTTATAGTTTGCTTCTTGGCGAAAGGTGAATGGCACCCAATGTTTGCCATGTCACGCGACACGGCCGAACATCTGGGCCAGACAATCCAATGATAAATATCGAGAGTAAAGATCCACGTCGTCGGTGTAAAAAGTCTGACCACTCGTTCTGTAAAGTAAGCGCACGTGAGTAAGTGTGGAAGGGTTTGTAAGTCACGGTGTGGAATAACCAGCTGATATTATCAGTGATAACATTGATGGTGACAAGAAACACGTACCTAACTTCCAATTTCCATCACCATCCATACAACAGTCTACAGCTCTACTTATCATATGTCGCCAGCAGTGTAATAATATCGATATATGTATCGCATGATACATCAGATCTAAGTCGTTGCTTCTATATAAATCTACGTTACTTACGAATGGTTGTAGTCAGAGCGTTATGACCTCCTGTCAATGTCCTCCGTTCCTCAAAACAAAGAATCTCGGTTTCCGAGATGCCTGTTTTCGTGGCAATCACTACATTCTACGAAAACGCAAAGCTGAACCAGTTACCACTCGTGTCTCCGAAGTGTGTTCGGCTTATTCCGGGATGACACGACTGTCCACGAAGTCGTTACACATGGAAGCGCCAATATAATCTTTCACGAGCCTGAAGTTTAACAACATTGTAAACTGACTGACTGACTGAGTTTGGTTTTACGCCGCTTTTAGCAATATTCCAGCAACATCACGGCGGGGGACACCAGAAATCGGCTACCCCACAGCCCCGCATTGTAAACACTTTGACAAGACATGTGACCAGATGCTTACTCTACATGTGCAATAACTTCACATGGCAAATACGTTTTACATCATGTTCACTTTATTTTCCTTGTTTTACATTTTTCTGTTATATTTTGTCTGTCTACACGTTCTTTATTTTCTTGTAATATTCAAGCAATCAGTAGGTAATCACGGATAATCCTGGTATGTTTAGTCCGTGTGCCTGCTCGCGCCTTACTTCGATACCTCTTCTGCTATATCTGCTGGAGGATGTACCTGGTCCACATTTGATATTTTCCCCTTTTTCGTGTAATTTTCGTAGTGCTGCGCGTGGTCAATGGTCAGCCTCTGCTCCATTTTCACCCAGGTAATCACCCCCTGGAACCACTTTCCTGCAGAGGTGCAGTGATGGGTGACTGTCCGCCTGCATTTGCAGTGATCGCGTGCTTGTTTTGGCGGTGAATGTAAGTTCGGTGTTAAACATCTAGTCACCATTTGTGAAAGACAAACAATATCATTTAAATATGAACATTACACGAATGCAAAGGTTCTGATGGTTATTTATAGAAAGTTTGGAGCTGCTAGGTTAAACATGAAGAAAGCGATTATCGGCAGAACATATCTTTTCATGCCGACAAATACTAAGTTTATTTGAAATATAATTTTTCTTATGAAAGACAAACAGAGTTAAAATGTATCACCAATAGCAGCTTCTGTGAAAAGAGGAAGTCATTCGGGTGAAAATTGTAGAAGTTATTGTACAAAATGTAAAATTGATATTCAGTGAAGTGATCGCGGGAATACAGCTCACGGAATTCAGTGATCGGAAATTTGGAATATGCACTGATCGGAATTTTCTGTACACCTTTTCTCAAAAGTTTATCAAAATTATGGAATAGGCGGGTGTTTCGATGTAACAAAGTATATTTTCGATCACTTTCAGACTGAGCTACAAAGATGAGAAGGTCAGGTGGGGACATTGCCCTTATATAGATGACTTTTCTGCAGTTGTGAATCACTGTGTGCAGAAACACGGAGATTTGATAAATAAAGACAATGGCCATAGCAATTGATAAAAACAAAGGCAAGAATCAATACTTGCCAAGCGTGTATGACATTGTACCAAGCGAACTTGAGGGTACAAAAAAGACATTACACATCTGCAAAAACACAAAATCTCTATCTATAGTACCTTCAGATACAGCTAGTCCTCTATTAAAGCAAGAAAGCGAAGCAGAGGGACAGGGATATATCGCCTAAGGGTGAAATTTGTGAGGATGTTGATGGAAAGTCAAGTATGACGCGTATGTCCGTGAAATGACATAATTGATATCTGACGTGGTGAAAGAACTTCTCATCAGTACAAAGCAAGAAAGCGAAGCAGAGGGACAGGGATATATCGCCTAAGGGTGAAATTTGTGAGGATGTTGACGGAAAGTCAAATATGACGCATATGTCCGTGAAATGACATAATTGATATCTGACGCCGTGAAAGAACTTCATCGTGCTGATCATGTCACAGACTTCGTTAGCTTTCTGAAACTTGTATTTACCGGAGCCTTTCCACTCGACAATATAGGCTTCCTTCTGCTTGGCGAAATTGTTTCACTGTTCAAATACATTGCTAATGAGACATTTCCCTCAAACAAAGCAGTTTTAGAAAATAGGATTGTGCCTATTTCATGGCACATTTTTTTGCGTTTCGCGTTTCATGGAGTAAGCCCAATATACACTTATATATATATACTTTAGCATTTTGTATGAAACAGTTGTGCTTTTATTCTTCGTCGATATGAATAGAGAATTTGTAAACATTTGACTCCTGAATTGCCTCCGTATAAACGGAAACTTTGGCAAAATTAAAACCAAATATTCGGATTAGTCTGTGACCCCCGACACTACTCACAGAGATTTGTAGTTGACCAACTAATCGGTGGTCACCACAAAGACATAGACGGGGCAGACCGCCTCCGTGGTGTAGTGGTTAGAGCGTCCGCCCGGAGAGCGGAAGGTCGCGGGTTCAATCCCCGACCGCGTCATACCAAAAGACGTTAAAATATGGTACTGCTTGGTCCCTGCCTGGCGCTCGGCATAATGGGTACAACAAGGACTGGTCGGCTTGGAGTCAGTATAATGTCTGAATGGGGTATTCATGCTTCACTGCGGCATGGTATCTCAGTGAGCTAGCACTATAAAACCAGCTTAAGTCTGGGCTAGTACAAGAATACACACGCATGCACGTCGTCATATGAGCGAAATATTCTCAAGCACGACGTCAAACCCAATTTCACCTCACCTCACATAGACGGGGCCATGCAGCGTAGGTTTCCACAATGTGTGTACGTTCAGCAAATTTGTGTATCATGTGAGGCGTGTGAAGAGAAAGATTCGTAATTTTAGTGCTATTTAGATATTTTCTGTATCATTTTCTTATCACGGAGTTACAATTTAGGGATATTTAGAGTTCTAAATATATTAATGGAATTACACGTCATTAGTATCATCAGTACGGGTGTTGTGATTTTGTGAGTTTACTTCTACGCCGCTTTTAGCAATATTCCAGCAATATCAAGTCGGGGGACACCAGAAATGGGCTTCACACATTGTACCCGTGTGGGGAATCGAACCCGGGTCTTCGGCGTGACGAGCGAATGCTTTAACCACCAGGCTACACCACCACCCCAGCACCGGTCTTGAAGAAGGCTAACCACCCCACTAAGTATACGCACATGCGAACTGACTAGCTCTGGTTTACGTTCAGAGGTAAGTGTGTACATCCATGTACCAAAATGAGCTTCATATACATTACCGGGCAAAAGAAAGTAAACACTTGAAATTAAATCTTACAAGAAATTACAACCATTTTAAATTACATTTGTGACGTCATTCCATTGTCTGCTCGCTCCATTACTTTTCAGGAATGGAGCGATGTGTACCAGTTTCAAATTAAAGCCTTCATTTTGTTATTTTGACATTTCATTTTGATAACAGAAATATTCCCAATACTTTGAATGTAATTTAAGTAGGGTAATATCCTCGTAACTTTCCATTCCTTAAAAACAATGTGCCTCGGCCCCTCGGCTCCATTATTTTTAAGGAATGGAGAGTTACTCGGACATTACCCTCTACATCAACACGTTATCTGTCAGAAAACATTCGCCGAAACACTGCAAACTCACCGTCTAAAAGAGGAAAATGATACATCAGAATACTAAATAACATTTGTGTCTGTTTGCTTTGGCCAGCAAACATGGGTGTTATACTTTCTGTTCCCCTAGTGTTCATACAATGGTTTATTCATTAACCTTTACAAATTTATTCGAGGTGAGTATAACTCCATCGGCACGATGAACAAGTGTATTACTCACATATAACATCACTCTGTGGGTAAATGAAGTCAAAATGTTGTAGTATTGCAGAAAGCTGCTATGAATCTTATGTACCCTCTCCATGTTTACATGTTAAGCTATGGTCACTGAAATGAAATGAATCCTGCTGTCCAAATTGTACATGTATATGTGCAAGCACTGGTGTGGGATTTTTTCAGATGGTATCGTTGGGAATCGCGCGACAATCTGAATATGTACTCTGATAACATCAATCTGACATGCTGAGAATGTTATAACAAAACAAGTTGTTTTTAGATTGGGAGGCATATACTTGTTTCAGAGAAGCGAGATTCAAATTGTATAAGGTATATATTCAACTATACTCACTGTTCTCTGCCTATACGCAACACTTCCCTGCGGCATACAAACCACTTCCCTGCTTGCAGTTTGATTTCCAAGAAACGATAAGATAACAGAATATTAACCAATGAATGTTTTAATGTGTGGTTATCAGTCCATATACGTTGAACAATATTCTGGCAACTCTACCATTTTGTGTCTACATTCTACACCTCTCAGATACAATCGAACATGAAGAATGCACAGCTTTTCATTTTATTCCAGAGAAGCCACATAGTACGGAAAGGCACGAATGGTGACGAATTTGTACGAATATTTCATACACAACTCTTGCTTAAAATATGTTTTATCAATGTTACAACTGTTATGTATCGGTTCCCAAACTAAAGCCCTTTTGAATACGTTCAGCCAGAAATGTATATTCAAAGAACAAATAGATGTTATACAATTAACACAAAATTAACTAGGATTTATATATCATGTATTACTGCAAAGTCATTACATCTTCATTATACAATATAGTGGCATCATAAAGTGAGTGAGTGAGTGTGGTTTTACGCCGCTTGTAGCAATATTCCAGTATTATCACGGCGGGGGACACCAGAAATGGGCTTCACACATTGTACCCATGTGGAGAATCGAATCCGGGGTCTTCATCGTGACGAGCGAACGCTTTAACCACAAGGCTGTCCCACCGCCCGGCAACATAAAGACCAGTGGTAGTTCAGTAACAATGGCTGTATAAAATACAACAGCGGTGAGATATAACAGCAATAAAGTCAGTAACAAGTAATTAATGTAGAAGCAACAGCAAATTCAGTGGTCCTAAGGCTTCCGTACAACTAGTATATTGCTGAAACTATGCCGATGCGACTTTAAATTTTAACTGACTCATTTAGAATCGTACACTGGACTCTTTTTTAAGAGGAAATTTCTCATGAATATGGAAAGAATGTTGTCGTTTGTATTGTCGTCGCCGCCTACGACCAGAATAGGTTGAGTACCGCAAACTCACACATCACCATCTACTATATATAACTTGTGCAGCATCACGTCCAAAATATAAGGGGCGGTGGGGTAGCCTAGTAGTTAAGGCGTTCGCTCGTCACGCCGAAGAC